TGATCTTACAAGGAAAGGGAAGGAAATCAACATTTTTACATTTATGCCCTTTTTTGGAAGAAAGGAGACTTGTTGTAGGGTCAAACATGTAATTTCTACACATTTTGTACTTTACTTTTCCTTCCCTTCCCTTTTGTTCCTTAAAAAAACTCAACAACACGTTCACTAAGATTTCCCTAGTTTCCCCTTCCCCAATTGTGTTTGACATAATGATGTCGCGTAATTTTTTGTTCACTGAAAAAAAGTCGAAAAAGGAGACAGGGATCGCTCTCAATTGCTAGTTTGTTCAAAGCATTTTCATTCTCATCATTGAGAATAAACCTAAAATGTTTGTTGTGTTATATCGTCTAATATAACAAGCAAAGCCTTATGATTATGGTCTCGTAACTTTAAAAGATGGTTTTTTATTCTATGTTCTGCCACTTATTGCCATGGTTTGGCATAAATTTTGGGTTAAAAGCAAGAAATAACAATGTATTTTCATTGATTTGATTATTACAACATCTTGCTTTTATTTCTTCCTATTACAACATTGTATTTTTAAAAATCTACCTAATTATAGCAATGTTATCCAAACACAAAACAATTCTCATTGCTAAATTTTTCTATTCATAATGTTCTAGACTTCTAGTAAGAAATAAGCTGAAAGTACAATATCTTAATAAATAAATAAAAAAATGATAAATACAATGTTGAAATAGAAAGAAATAAAAGTACGTAATACAAAAATAAATGTAAGTATGTTGACATTTCTTGGGATTAAGTTGGAGAATGTGACAAATGAAATTGAGTTGTAGTGGATATTTGTGGTGAAATAAACGTTGTGTTTGAATTGTAAGCGAGTTTGTATTGTAATAAACGTTGGAAAATAAGTTTTTCTTAAGGATTAAGATATTATTATGCATATAAAGAATCCTTAAAACCAGGTCTCCATTTAATTCATGAAGCACATTAAAAAGCGAACTAATTAGTTGGAAAGTACGAGGAAAGCAAGGAGGGGTAAGCATATATAGAAGCAAGTCAACATTTTAAAAAGAGTGTCATATTGTTAAAAAGAAAACTCCTCCAAATTTGGTATTTTTATGATTTCTACATATTTTATCAAAGCTTAACCAAAAATTCCAATTAATGAACATCCTCAAAGATATCATTTTATATAATAATTAAGTTGAATTTGAATCTTAATACATAAACCATAAAAGTAAGAAAAGAAAATAAGGTTTGATTACTAAGTGGGCCAATCACATCAGAAAAATAGAATTTGTCCTCCACCGTTGATTGGGAGTATTGTCTTCCATTCATCCATTGATTCTTGTATATCAAGTCTTTGCGTTTTTTCCTATATTCTTCTCTTCGTATCATAGTTTAGGATATCTAGAAGTTAGGTAATTGATTGGTCAAGTTAGTTAAGTTAAATCAAATGTAATTTTTGTAAAAGTTTGATCGAAGTGGGACCTTTTTAATGTATCGAAGATTTAATGACTTATTTATGCAACCTACTTGCACATCTTTTACCAAAAATATGCAATGAATTGGATTTTATTTTATTTTATTTTTTATAAGTTTCTGCCTTCATGTTTCAGTTTGTTACTAAATAAGTCATTAAGTCACACCCTTGCATAAATAAGTCATTAAGAGGCGACTTTATTATCATTTTCTGTGGGCTGATCGCTGATAATTTGAATAGTGATATCCCTCGTTTCAATCACATGACGTCATCTTCTAGATTCATTGAAATATTTTGATGGCCATATTCATGCTTCTTTCATCTAGTGTATGGAATTTAAAATTCAAGACTGAAGAGACCAATCAACTTGCACTTAATTACTTAGAATTCACGTAAATGATGGGTCAATAGAAAATCTCTGTTAATTTCCACATACTATAACATCAACTTATGACTTTAAGAAAAGAAGAATAGTATCTCTCTTTATTCCTTGATCACTTTTATCTTCATTTTTTCAAGCAGCTTACAACAATTGCAATGGCGAATTCATCTTTTGATCAATCCGTTGCTAACCATAAGCTCTCATACGATGTGTTCATAAGTTTTGGAGACGACAATATCATCAAAAACTTCGTGAATCATCTCTTCAGTGACTTCAAACGCAAAGGGATTTATGCTTTTAAAGAAGACACTCATCTTCTTAAAGGAGAAGACAGATCTCCACAAATCTACACAGCCATCGAACAATCAAGGTTTCTTTTAGTCATATTCTCCAAAAGCTTCACTTCTTCACCATCTTGTTTAAAGGAACTTGTTAAAATCCTCGAATGCAAGAACAAGAACCCCGAAAAACATCAAATCCGAATCATTTTCCACAATTTCAAGCTTAATGGAATCGAACCAGAGGTGTTTGAATGGAAAGAAGCTCTGACCATGGCTGCAAAGTTACCCGTTTGGGATCTTGAAGATCTAGTCAACGGGTATGAGTCAAAGTTTATCGAAATGATCTCGAATCACATCTTCAATGAACTAAACAACGGACCATTACATGTTGGTGAGAATCTCATTGGATTACATTCTCGTGTAGACCGAATGAACTTGTTGGAATTCACCGAGTCAAATGACGTTCATATGATCGGAATCTATGGTTCCGAGGGAATCGGAAAGACTTCAATCGCGAAATCCGTTTACAATCGATTGTATCTCCATTTCGAGAGTTCAAGCTTTTGTGAAGATGTGGATAAGTTTGTGAAACAAAACGGGATGATTCCGCTTCAAAGGCAAGTAATTGAGGATATTACTAAAGAAGAAATGAAAATAAGAAGTGTTGGTGAGGGAAGTAGTGTGATGAAACGGGTCATGGGTTCTAAAAGGGTCTTGTTGGTTCTTGATGGTGTGGATCATTTGGACCCGTTGGAATGTTTAGCGGGTTCTCGGTGTTGGTTTGGGGCGGGTAGTTTGATTGTGGTAACGGGTAAAGATCGACAGTTGTTGGTTGCTCATGGGGTTGAAAAGATTTATGATGTTGAGGGTTTGGATTTTGATGAAAGTATGGAACTTTTTTGTTTGTATGCATTTAAGCAAAAAGATCCTAAAGAGGAGTTTAAATGGCTTTGTGAAGGAGTGGTTCGATATGTGAAGGGTCACCCGTTGGCTCTTAAAGTTTTGGGTTGTTTTCTTTTTGGGAAGACGGTTCGTGAATGGGAAAATGAATTAGATCGGTTTCGAATGTATCCGATTTATGACATTCAAGTGTTGATATCACGGTTTTCTTCAAACAAGAAATGAAAAGATTGCATTACTTGTGTTTGGTATTTTTTGTCTTCGCGAGGTTGAAGTTTTTTCTTTTGTTAGATAAGGGTAAATTGGTCATTTACTCTCGCACTTAAACTTTTTTCACCAATAATAACAACATACTTACGGACATGTTCAATGTGTTGTATTTGTTACATATTGATATTGCTATTATAGTAAAGAAATCCTACATGTTAGGAATGGAAAATACGTTGCTATTATAGGTCACATACTAAGATGCAAGTATATATGTTGCTATTATGGTAAAGAAATGTGAATACATTGCTCTTTTTGTCGCTATATAAAGTAAAGTATGTTGTTATTTCTTATAATATACTGGATAGTCAAGCGAAAAAACCAAGTATTATTCTTATTTCAAACTTGAAGTAGGTTTACAAACAATTTCTTTTATTTATTGTATGTTGATATGCTTTCCCCTATACAACCAAGTGTTAGTACTCTGAAGTTGAAAATTATAAGTATTTACTCTTTTAGAGCAAATCATTCAATTTTTGCAACGATCAATTTAAATATCACGGCTAACTGTGACTTGAGAGATAATTAATGTATGTTTCAAACAAAAATAATAACTCTAGTTACTGGTATGTTCATGTTGTTATACCATTTCATATGATTCCTGAATACACCGAACTATATCAACACTGAAATTCACAATCTATCGTGGTTAGAGCACTTTGTATGGTGATTCGAGCAAATTCTTTTTCGAGAATACAATTTCAGGAACGAGGACTTGAATTATAGAATGCGTTATTCTTAGACCCCCATTTCCAATTCCCATATCAACTAAGAATGAATAAATACCAACGAGTTATGGTTGTATTAGTTATATCACTAATATGTATATTTATATGACTTATAACGTTGAGTTGTACTCTTAAACTTTCACATTATTTATTAAATGTGAAAAGCACTACTCAAACAACTAAATCAAAACAAATGTTGTTTCGATTTGATTCAAGTCCTTCGGCCAGTTTGATTTGAGATTTTGTTATCCAAGAGGCCAAGATTAATGATTTGGGCCAAAAAATTCCCCTATAAATCAACCAAATCAAACCATAAACAAATAATAGTTACACCAAATGTAATTGTCAAACCAAAGGTTGTTCGATTTGATTAAGTCCTTCAGCTAGTTTGATTTGAGATTTTGTTATCCAAGAGGACAAGAGTAATGATTTGGGCCAAAAAAACACCCCTCTAAATCAACCAAATCAAACCATAAACAAATAATAGTTACACCAAATGTAATTGTCAAATATGGCACCATCTCTAAACGGACTAACGCAAGTCGTAAACTAATACAAGTTACAACAAATGAAATCGTCAAATACCACATCAATCAAAAAATTATTATTGTTTATTAAATAACTAATACTTAGGTGCCATTATATTCTTCTATTTTTTTTATTAAATAAATAATACTCAGACACCATCAAAAGTTATTATTGTTTCAACTTGAAAGTTCCATGCTTGGAGTGTCAAAAATAAAGTTTGACCCGACATCTATGGAGGGCCGTTCCTAAACGGAGAAATTTTACAATTTTTTAGTTCGTTATTGAGGGCAAAGATATGTTTTACTCTCATTTAATTTTTACGAGGGTTAGGGAGCCCCATCTTAATAGCTCGGGGGGACTACGAAAAATTATCTTTTATCTAATTATTTTTAATATTAAAAAAATATTAAAAATAAAATGACAACAGTGTAATAAATTTATAGTAATCAAAGAGAGTGTAATATGTAATGTTAAATGAAACAAAAGAGATTAAAGTTGGCCAACGGAGAATTTCAAGGTTAACGGTGGATTCAAGGGAAAGAGAGGAAATGAGGGGGAGCAAGGGTAATAGGGGTATTTCGATGGTGAGGAAACCGGGGAATCCAGAGCGGGGCGAAAAAGATTTTTCGGGGCGGAGTCAAGAGATACTTCCCCTGTAATAAAGGCACGCTAACATATTTATTTGAACCTGAATCATAGCAAATACTAAATCATAACAAATACGGAACTGAATATGGATTTAATAATCGATGAACAAAATAAAATTTGAAGTTATATATGCATTAGACTATCTCAAATGTCAAACTGGTATAGAATGCTTAAGAACTTTCAACAACTAATAATTAACTTGACATGATGTAATATTGACCTATTTATAGTAGCACTTACTAAACATAGATCAAAATAGTCAAATATCGTAATTACAGATGGATAAATAAAAATGCATAGATATTTTAAATGTAAAAATCAACAACGCATCGTTGGTGGTCCTACAACGCTAACTACAAAAATATAAATTTTTGTTATAGATTGTAAAATGATTTGAGCGTGTTTGATACGAAGATTTTGAGAACTTTTAGTTTTTAAAAAGAAGCTCAAAAAAGAAAATTTTGTTGGATGGCTTAAGCTTTTAGCTTTTATGTTAAACAAAAGGCTATGAATTATCACAAGTAAAGAAAACAAGTTCAATTATTATGCATTTTCTTATGTGCTAATTACAAAAGAATTAAATCATATTTTCACAATTTTGTAAATTAATACATCATATACTTTTTAGCATAAATTTGTTGTTTATCTTTTTATGAATGATAAAACTGTTACTTCATATTATTAAAAAACTTTGGAATAGTGATCAAAATCAAAATTCTCTTTCTCCTCGACCGTCGGATTGAGTTTTGAAATAGTTCTTCTTTTTCAAACCCCTCAAAACCCAGATTTTGAATAGTTAAGGGGACTTAATTTTTTGAGGAGCTTCTAACTTTTTTAAGGTAAAATGACATTAATACCCCCCAAAACCTATACCTCAGTTCACAGCTCCCCACTCGTTCAAAGCATCCTCCACACTTTTTCACGATAACTCCACAGTTAATTTCTCTCCCACCTCCGATCTCCGATCGCCTGCGTCCACCAGACCTTGTTAGACCTCCGATTTCCGGCGACACTAGCTACTGTATCGCCTTTTTCGGATCTCCTGGTACAGAGTATGCTTGTCCGATCTCCTCGTTTTAGACCTCCTATGTGCTTTATGTTGTTTACATCAGAAGAAGAACTAACAAACGGTTCTGGGTTTAAGTTTTGATTCCAGTTTAAATCAATCTCGCCTTCCATCTCTTTTTAGGTAAAGTTCTTCAATTACATCGCTTCAAGGACTTGTATTTTGTTTATATATATAGGTTTCATTCGAAGATTACATGTTATTAGTAATTTAGTTTCTTAAACAAGTTTCTCATTGAGTTGTTACTGCATGTATTAGGTTTTATCTGAAGATTTGTATACTCCTCAGAATATGTGTTAGAAAACGGTATAGAGTCGTGTGGTTTCTTTGACTTTATTATGATTCAACTAATATGATGTAGATTGTGTTTTTGATGAAACTGAATCTATTGTATGGTAGTGTGGATATCTAGAATGAAAAGCCCTAATCATCGTTTTATAGAATAATTGTTTTGAATGGATTAGGTTTTGTGGAGGATTGCATCTGGTATCCGTTTATTTGTTTGAATTACATTTTGTCCTCTGTATATATGTATGATTTCTATGTTAATATTGTATGTAATCTGTGTGCTTTATGTTGACCATTGAAGATCCAAAGTCTCATAATATCTGTTTGCTTTATGTTGATAATAGAAGATCCAAATCTCAAGATATTATTTTGTATAATATCTACAGCCCTAGCTCCGTTTTAATTTATCTATTTGTCAAATTCAGTTTTACAAAGTTATTGATATAGTAGCTTACTATTTTGATTCTATTTGATTGGTTTCATAATTCCATTGATCTTATTACTTAAACGTGATAAAATAGTTTACATCTGTAATCTGTTAAAGTTACATACATGAATAACTTGGTAAAGCATATGATTTATGAATTATCACAGTTTGAAGGTATCAATGGCAAAAGTTATAGAGAAGTTCTTTGTAACATCTATGTTGATGTGGGCTGTTCCTATTGCAATTTTGTACGCCTTCAACAACAATCTATTTCCTGGTAAGTTTCATTTGAATTTCTCAATATTCTTTCGTATAGATTTTCCCATACTTTTTCTATTAAGTCTTCCTTTGTGCATTCAGTCAAAAGGAACACCCATATGCAACTTACCGGATTATCAACTTCTGAACCCATTAAGTGGAAAAGAAAGAAATCCTAACTTCCATTACATTGCCTTTTTTAATTTTTTCAACAGGTTCTGCTGACATGTCTCCATATTCAGTGACACTAATAAGTGGATTTCTTGCTGTTGTATCGGTTAATATCGTAATAGCATTCTACATTTACTTGGCAATGAAAGAGCCTTCAGAGAAACATGAGCCTGATCCTAAGTTTGTTTCAGAAGCTGAGGCGAGTGTCAAACATCTGGTAGTACCCAATCAAACACAGGAAACCGAGTCGACTCAGGAAAGCGAGTTGACTCGTAAGAAAGAAGAGTAAAAAGAGAGTATTTGATGATTTTGCACGTGCTTTTCGGTTGTCATACTATCTATATGCATTCTTGTACATTTTTAATTTTTTTTTTTTTTTTTTTTTTTTTTTTTTTGTGGATCTTTAAAGGATTCTTTTTGTTAGTAATTTCGTATTAATTGTTTTCCTGGATTAAAGGCAGAACATGACATAGCAGATTGTACTGTGTTTGACATGAGAGATAGGATATGAATGACTTCATTCTCATCATTGAAAACATGAAACAAACGAAGCCTTAATAGCTTTGATGTTATTTGTCATTCTATTGTTTTTATTTTGTGTCTTGTGTATGATTTTTAAAGAGTAAAAGTTTATTACATCATTCTCATAACAAACGGGGTAAGTGGTGATTGGTGGCTAGATGTTATAAAATAACTTAACTCTACTATCTTACTAAACCAATCTTAACCGTAAGTGAGGTAGTTAATTACATTATTGCCCCTCAACACAAAACAGTTCTCATCGCATTTTCATGTGGACAAGATCTACAAAATATTTTTGGCGCAAACCAAATATTCGGTAATCGTTTGACCACAGAAAACATTCACAAATTGATGCTACTTTAAAAAACATAATATTACAAGTTTATGTCTCAAAATAGTTGATATAACAATGTACTTTTCATTGATTTGTTTATTATAACAACTTAATATTTTCTTTTCGTTTCCCCAAGTTTGACGTGCATCGTGGACTGTAACAAAAAAGATGGGATAGAGATACGCTGTAGATCTTTGGCCTATGCAAAATATATGAATGACTTCATTCTCATCATTGAAAACAAGCCTTAAGAGCTTTGATCTTATTTGTCCTTCTATAGTTTTTATTTTCTGTCTTGTATATGATTTTTGAAGAATGGAAGATATGAATTCTATTACATCTATTCTCATAACAAACAGGGTAAATGGAGTTTGGTGGTTAGATGATATAAATATTGATTTATTTAGTACATCTTAATTTAATAACAAAGGGTTAATATCATAAAAAGCCTTATATTTTGGGTTTTTATCCGATTAAACATCAAGTATTTTTCCCCGAAAAAGACGTTACGTTATGACTAGCTTTTGATTTTCCGTTTTTATCAGGATTTTAGGTCATGAGCCGGTTCGAAGTGGATGGCGTGGCCTCATTTAATGAACTGGAAAATGCTAAAATCGTGGAGCCCTCTCTTAGAAACCATAATTTCAAGTTTTTAGGTCATGAGCGAGTTTTTGAAATTGAAGTTGAAGCAAAAAAAAAAAATAAATAAATAAATAAAGATAAGACTTGTGTTTAGTGTGAAGAAAAAAAAAATGAAGAGAAAAATAAGAAGTTTGAAGAACAAAAATTGAGTAGTGTTGTATATCTTAGGGTTGTCATAGAGTTGATAGTTGTTATTTTGTCAATGGCTCTTTTAGGATTTGTCATGTTTGTCAAAGAAAAAAAAAGTTTGTTGGCTTTGCCTTCTTTGGAGTTTTAATTTATGTACTTACAAAATATTTACGTTTTTGGTGATGTACTTTGAGAATGAAGGATTTAGTAAATGTACTTTCAAAATATTTATGTTTTTGGCAATGTACTTTCTGAATGTTAACGTTTTTGGTAATGTAATTTCAAAATATTTATGTTTTTAGTAATTTACTTTGAGAATGTTAACATTTTGGGTAATGTACTTTTAAAATATTTATGATTTGCAGCTTATGCCATCTTTGTCGTGACTCTTTCAACCACCTATTCTTCGAGTGTTCATATCCATCTTAGATATGGAGATGACATCCTTGATAAATCTCAACAAAGTTCCTAGCAAGTGGATCAACATCATCGACCTCCTCAAGCAGGCCACAAGGGGGTAAGTCCATTTGGTCTATTATTCATCGTTTAGTTCTTGCAGGGACTGTCTACTATATTTGGATCGAAAGAAACAATAAAATCTTCAAGAACAAGAGAAGACCCAATGAAACTATGGTCACGACTATTACCGATGAAGTCCACTCGAGATACCTAAGCTTTACTCCTAAGACCTCCGCAAATTTTGCTAAAGTTAAGATCAATTGGAGGCTTCCAATGAAGAATGAAGATATCGCCACTCACCACACACCTTGACTTTGTGACCAAGGTTTGTTTCTTATATTCTTTTTATTTGTGGTTGGTTATGATTTATATTGAGGCTTAGAGCGTGTTCTTTTCCCCTTTTAGTTGGTTTTCTGTTAGTTAGGTTGTTTTGGTCCTTGGGGCTGTCTTAGGGTCCTTTTTTTATTCTTTTAATTAATAAAAGGGATAATGACTATAAAGGGTAACGAACTTTCGATTTTTGTCACATTTAGTCACTAAACTTTTTTTCCAAAAATAAAAAATCAAAATTTCCAATCTGATTTTGGTTTTACAAAAAAAAAATGAACCATTCTCACTGATGTGAATTATGACCATTAGTTTGGCATGCGGAATTTGTGACATCCAAGGAAGATGTAGTTACAACATCGTCTGAACTCGTAATTCATAGTAAGGGGTTAGAGTATCATTGCATGAATACGTAGTTACAACATCACCTGAAATCGTAATTCATCACCTACAGGTTATGGGCCTGCTGGTGTTTCCACTGGGTTGTCTAGAATAGTCCATAGTCGCCATCTATACTTTGGTAGATGACTACATCACCACATTGCTGGTTATGGTTATGGTATCTCCTTTCATCCTACATCACATATTCATCATCATCTATTTACCTAATTATCATCACCTTTCTATCATCACCTATCTCTCATCATTTTATTTCATCACATTGTTGGTTAAGGTTATGCTTCCTAACTTCGAACCCCAAGGTTTACTCTACTAAAGCTTCATATTCTCGGCTCTCTGGACCTAGAAGGGTCCAGATCTATTACACCAAAAAGCTCAAGATAGCTCTTCCTCTCACTCTACACACTCAAGCTCACTAGGGTTCTCACTTATGGGAAAGGTAGTCGCAATTGTAACAACACAAATTTTCAAATAAATTTTTCATTTTAAATAAAGTGAGTTCATTCAACATATGTAAAATCCCCAAGATCTCAAATATCAGTAGTGTGTATGCATCATGCCGGCGCCTTCCCACGGTCCTCGCTAGTACCTGAAACACATACGTAACAACTTGTAAGCATAAATGCTTAGTGAGTTCCCCAGTATACCACTTACACATATACGCCTTTCCAGGCCCGGACCTTCCGGTCCACAGTACAATGCCTTCCGGCCCATATGATAATCGCCTTCCGGCCCATAAGATAGTTGCCTTCCGGCCCATAAGATAATTGCCTTCCGGCCCATAAGATAATTGCCTTCCGGCCCATAACATGATTGCCTTCCGGCCCATAAACATATATAGCACATAATACATTTACTCTAACACATATATCACATATATCATATATCATACCTGACCTTCCTGTCACATAATACATTGCCTTCCGGCCCATAGAAACATACATAGCATGCATAGCAACTATTTCTTTCAATTATAGCATATATATAACACATAACATATCCGACCTTCCGGTCACACAGTCAAACCCTTCCGGGTACAGTATAGTGAGAAGACTCACCTCGTAGTATGTAAACTATAAACTCTTGAACCACTCGCACTCGGTCCGCCGATCTGCAGTCTCCCTATAATACCATATACCCTTATTAATAATCTTATCAAACAAGACAACTGACCCTACGAAATTACATGCAGGTCAACTCTGGTCAACGGTCAACTTGACTGGACTCGTCGAGTGCAAAGGCGACTCGACGAGTCTAGACGTCCTCCCCAACTTTCCCTGTTGTTCCCCTTTCTACTCGTCGAGTATCCCTCTTGACTCGACGAGGTCCTCGTGGAAGAATCGCGGGGCCACCCCGACTCCACTCGCCGAGTCCGAAGACAACTCGACGAGTTCCAATGAATCCTCAACTACTCGCCGAGTCTGAAGAACAACTCGGCGAGTCCCAGTAAATCTTCAAGCTACTCGCCGAGTCTGATCATTGGACTCGGCGAGTCCATGCCATGCAGTCGATCATCTGCCTCCTGAAATACGCATGGTCCCGAGACATGCACCCACGGGACTTTCTGGACCTCTAAGCATCCTATTACTGGGGTATAAACGGTTGGGTAACAACATAATAATCTATCTAATCCCCAAATGGGTCTCATAAACCCTAGATTCGTGTACACCACCAAAACAACAGAAATGGTCCGAGTATTACCTGGAAAACGTGTTCTCTGTGTCCCCAACCTTCAGAGCTCAATCCTCTTGATCCTCCTTTGACCACAACCTTGCCTCTTCTTGCCTAACAAATCCTTCAAGTTTCCACTAGCCTTCACTCCTGCTCCAGATGCCCACAGACGTTTAGGTTATCCTCAATCGGCCAAAAGACGAGCAGTGACGGCCCTAAAGACGTTATATACGATCCAGAATCAAACGGCTAGGGTTTCTGCTGAACAGCGTCGACTCGCCGAGTCCCTAATGGACTCGTCGAGTCCAGTCGTGAATCTGCGACCAAGTCCGTGGTCCTACTCGGCGAGTCAGACACCAACTCGCCGAGTCCCCTCCTAAAAATGCCCCAAAAATAGTTTTAAAGCAATACCTGAAATTCCGGGCTGTTACAGCAATTGAAGGCCATAAGTGCCTTTAAATATGGCTCGGACCCAAAGATTTAGGGTTTCTGCCAACAGCGCGGACTCGTCGAGTCGCCTCACCAACTCGTCGAGTCCATTCATTAATCTGAGTCATCAGTCGCGGCCTTACTCGACGAGTTGAGGCATCAACTCGTCGAGTCTCTCTTCTTAACTCAAAAGAAAAATACTTAAATTATGATACCTGGAAATCCGGATGTTACATTTTGTTTTTTTATTTCGTAGATTTCTTCATCAACAAATATTGCTACAATTAAACAAAAATAAATAATTTTGCTAAAACATAATACAATAGGAAGTTTGTTCACATTTAGTCATTGAACTTTTTAGAGGGAAAAAAACTTTCGGTTTTGTTCACATTTAGTCACTAAACTTTTTTTCGTTATCTATTTGCCACTAAACTATTGAAACTGTTCACATTTTACCCTTGTGACCGGTAACAGTCGATCATAAGGGTAAAATGTGAACAATTTCAATAGTTCAATGGCAAATAGATAACGAAAAAAAGTTTAGTGACTAAATGTGACAAAAGTCGAAAATTCGTTACCCTTTCAAGTCATTATCCCTTAATAAAATTCTAATGGAGGTGTCGCCCTCCTTTAGCAAAAAAAAAAAAAAAAAAGAAATAATTATGACTTCTGGTAATGTACTTTGCATGGTGATCAATGTTTGACAAACAACCATATTATTAAAGAGTAAAATTTTCCATTCATGAGTATAGTTGGTAACATACCATAAATACCACCATTTACAAAAGTCCTAAACATGGTATTCAAAACCATTGGGTGTGAAGCTATACTAGCTTAAAAAGGCAAAAATTGAATCACTTAAGTTAAATGTGTGGGTGTGAATCTACGTGATCATACAAACAATTACAAATGACCAATATAGTAGCAACGACAAGGAAACAAAAGCACAAATAAATCCCCATCCACCAACTCTACGTATAAGTTAAAATAACTACTCTAACATCATTGGTTCGTTTTGACAACCAACTTCAGGTGCTAACGTTTTCAAATTTCGAGTCACAATTCTTTCAGTTTTGTTGCTGAATTTAAGCAACTTTATAAAGCGTGTAGGTGCATTTGAGCTTCTTTAGTTCCTTCATCATCATCATCATCATCATCATCATCATCATCTTCAACCTCATTCACCGGTACATCAATCAAATTCTCTCCTTCCACATTTACATCATTCAAAGTCCTTTGTAACTCTTTTTAAAATTGGCATATATGTATGCTTAGAACATTGCTTGTTCTCCAAAGAACCTCTTTTCACAACTTCACACAAACCTTGTGAGTAAAGTGTAGTTAGTATATATGCTAAGTATGAAAAAAAATGTTAGGTAATACCGTAATACATGATATTTGGGATGATCTTATGTTGGCTTGTATTAGTTTAAGTCATCCACCATCTTGTAGTCAAACTCGTCAACTAAGAGCTCTAGAAACCATTTCCAAAAAATAACTTGAGGTTTAATTCCCAAATCGAAATCAATTCCAAAAAATTCAATACAGAGTAAGGAAATTATTAAAGAACCTGGAATGCAATTTCTATGATGGTTCTTTGTGAATGGGCCCGCTTCTCAGAATCATCTGTGGTGCGTGGTAGACAGGTAGACCAAAACTCCTTTTGCGCGTTTGTGTAATTGGTTGTTTTCTTTTGAGACCAAAGGGATATATCAATCCATCTACTGATTTAAATCCAATGATTTTGAGATCTTTCAATAAAAAAATGCTCTGTGGAAGTAGACTTATGCGTGTACCTTGTACGTTTAACTCTTCTAAACATTTTAAGTCTCCTAATTTCAATGGCAATCTCTCAAGTTGATCACAAAAGCCAAGGTCAAACTCTCTGAGATGTGTCAACTTACAGATGCTACTAGGAACATCTCTTATCTTGCAAAACGCTAGACTTAGTTCCTCCAAAGATTCTAACATACCAATATCTTCGGGTAAATTCATAACAACTTTACAGCTTGTAAGAAGTAGAGTTTTCAGATTTTTCAACATACAAATGCTTTTAGGGAGATGTTTGACTCGTGTACCTCCTAAATTTAGCCATTCTAAACTTTCTAAATGGCCAAGATCCTCTGGTAATTCCTCTATGGCGCAATTTACAAGGTCAAGGTTTTTTAGACTTCGTAGAGTGCATATGCTTTGTGGCAGACTCTTGAGCCTATGGCACCCACTGAGATCTAGATAAACAAGCTTCTCAAGGTTTCCAATCGATGAGGGTAACTCTTGTATATTGTTCTTTGAAAAGTAAATCGCCAGTAAACTATAGTTGGAATGCTCTGGAAGTATATCTGGGAACTTCGTCAGATATAAATTACTTAGATCAAGGACCTGAAGTGATTTCAGTGGTTTGATTAATGAAAGAGATTTGAATCCTACACAACCATTTAAGTTTAACAAGACGAGTTTTCTTAGGCATCCAATGGGTGTATGTGGTTCTACCAAATGACGACATTTTTCAAGTTTTAATGTCTCAAGATTTGGAAGTAAACCACAATCAATGGTCGTCAATTTTGAATTACTCAAGTCAAGAAATCTAAGGTTTTTAAGGACCTGTCATAAGCAAGAAAGAAAAAAAGATTAGTGAAATGAATTATGCAAAAGAAGAAATCAAGTACTCTACCTTTCTTTCTCCCTCGTGCCACAGCTGTTTAATTCTACTGTTAGGCATTTCAAGTGCTACGAGATTATTTGGTTGGAATGTTTTAGGTAAACAGTAATGAGGGTAACAGTGCCAACTCAGAAACCTTAACGCGTTTGGGAAATTTTGGCCAACTTCAAATGAACAACTGCTCCCAGAAACCACGTGAAGAAATCTAAGTTTCTTCAAGTTTCCAAAACCATTTATAAGAATCGTAGAACAGAGTTTCTCATCGTCAAACCATGTCGATGTGTTTGTTGCTATAGCTCTTATTGCTCCTGTAACCTGTAATCGAAGAATAGAGATAAAGAAACTAGGGTCAACTTAATTATGAAAGTTCGTTAGTTTTTTTCAATATTAATGTAAGTAAACATTTTCGTCCTTACCAAGTCATCAACCAATACATCTTTAATCTCCTCTCCAATCCACAATCGGCTATGCTTTATGGACTCATCAGGATATGAACGACGAACAATATTCTGACCCATTTCTTGTATATGGTCATGCATGCCTAATCTTTGATCTAGAGAGATAGTTATAAGAGATTTTTGCTCTGGAACTCTTAAGCCATTCCTAGCGTGAAATCCACAGCTTTCAAGTGCTGTAATTGCATCGTCTTTCAGCCAACCTTTTAGTAAGCATGCAACATCTAGGAATATTTCCTTGTAATCATCCTCTAGGCAAGTGTAGCTTAATTCCAATTTTACCAAAGTTTCTTTCAACGGAATTGATTTTAATCTTTCTAGTGCGTCTTTCCATTCGGGTTTATTTTTACCACAGAGAGATGAACCCAAAACTCGGATTGTTAAGGGAAGACCTGCAACATAATGTACAACTTGGAGTGATAGTGATTTGTAGGTTTGAATTGGAATATCTCTACCAAATGCATACCTACTAAAGAGGCATATCGCTTCCTCATCTGATAAAAGATTGACATCATGAATCCATTTCACTCTGTGTGCTATGAGCACTTGTTCATCTCTTGTTGTAATTATAACTCTGCTTCCTGGTTTAAACCAATTAAGCCCACCAACTAATGCATCTAACTGGTCTAAATGGTCTACATCATCTATAACGACAAGAACCTTTTTACTACACAAGATTTTTTTCAGTATGCTTTTCCCATCATGAAAATTCCCTATTGTGATTCTTTTATCATTTAACACATTGGAAATTACTTGTTCTTGCAACACGGACAATGATAGTTTTGAAATTTCCCTGATGTTGGCAACAAAGCTTTTACCTTCAAACTGAAAGCATATCTTTCCAAATATAGCTCTGGCCAAAGTCGTTTTTCCACCACCTCCAATCCCCTTGATACCTATCATACGAACATCTTCAACACCAATTTCCAAAGATGAAACAATATCCTTTATCCGGGTCTCCATGCCTACTAGTTTTTCATCGACTTTTAAATTAAAGAAACGTAGCTCTAGTGAAATCTTTTCAACAATTTTATTGATGACTTTAGCTTCATGCCTGTAGAATAATTAAAACATACGATTAGCTTCACTAATTTTCCACATGAGTAGTTAGTTTAGTGTACGTTAGAACATACAAACTTATATTGCATACTATACATTTTTCATCTTTGACAAGAGTCAAATTTCATATAGAATTCCACAATAGAACATGATGAAAACACCCGTTTAATTGCATATAGATTAGAAAAGAAACAAACAAAAGATTGCTCAAAATGATGAAAATTTTACCCATCAGAAGTTTTCCTCAAATCCCACCCAGCCAGATTAGCTGCTTCTTTCAGAGACTCTCTCCACTTCCCAACCTCTCCCTTGTTTTGTCTGGTAAAAGCTTCTTCAACTAGATCAAGCTGCTGACGAACTTCTGAGGGATCAACATCATAGAACACAGGGTAAGCAATCTGCTCAGTCTCCTTCTGGCACTCCATAATCTTCACAAGCTCATCCAAGCACCATGACGAAGATGCATAGTTCTTAGAGAATATAATAACGAAGAATTTTGACTCTTGAATGGATTTCAAGAGCTCATCGTTCATCTTTTTTCCTTTCTCGAGTCTCTCATCATCCTTGAAAGTATGAATTCCTTGACGTTGAAGAGCAACATAAAGATGATCAACGAAATTCTTACGGGTGTCTTCACCTCTAAAGCTCAAGAATACATCATACATATGGCTTTTATGAGTGGATGATGTTGAACATGCCATTGAAGGTGTGCTTGACAGATCCTATTAAATAAAATATCTGTTGAAGGAAATTACGAAAGATTGAAAAGAATCAAGGGATCATATTCATATATCTCAAAGATCTGTATTTAAATATAAGTCAACGTGATGTGTTTTGGGGCCTCGTGAACTAAGCAATTGCAGTGCAACACCAAGATGGGGTCAATAATTTGACAAAAATTAATCACGTAAAGCTCAACACGTGGGTTTATGGCGTAGGGGAGGAGGTAAATAGTTTCTTTTTTGGGGGGCAAAATGGTCATGCACACCACGTTGTTTCCATCCACATATTACTTTCATGAAAGTATTTTCAGTTAGGCAAGATGTACCAGCTAATTAATAATGCACATAATCTTCATGAATCATGAAGCCTTCTCTCACGTGAGCCTCTCATGCCATTTGATTCTTTTCTCTGGCCATAACGTGTCTTAATTATTATCACCCATGCAAGCGTTGGTCGACATACTTTGTACAAGCTTCGTTATTTCCAAAACAAGCAAAAATGTATTTGTCTTAATGTTGAATTATTAGGAAAACATTATCTATCTTGATAAAGGAAAATCTATATAAAGTTACTACATTTTAATATCATATTCAATTATATATATATATATATATATATATATATATATATATATATATATATATATATATATATATATATATATATATATATATATATATTAGTCCCGAATACCGGAAATTGTATTCATTTTCTTCCTTTTTCTCCGCTTGTCTCCGACTTTCAATAATTATAATATTGGCCTAAATTTTAAATTTTATTATAAACTTAATCCAAAATTTAAACTATTGGTCCAAATTTCAAAAAATTGTTACAAGTTCATCATAAATTTAGTTTTTTTGCATATCTTTTTTTTCCAAAATTTTGTTTCAAATATATTATTTTTGCTTTATAAAATCATAATTATACAACAAAAACATATTTTCACATAAAACCCTTCTTTTTTCTGCATAAAAACCTTTTATTACAAAACGTTTTTGTTAAAAAAAATTATATGTAAAAAATATGTTTCTTTGTATAAATTTGGTCCGAAAGGTTTTTCGCATATAAAGTTTTTTATGTTAAAAAATGTTTTAATACAAAAAAACATTTTTTCACTTAAAAAAACATTTAAAAAAAAACATTTTTTCACATAAAATATATATTTTTGTTTGTGCACTTATATAATTCGAAAACGAATAACATGTCATTTTTTTTTGTAAATATCTTGGTTTTTTATATGAAAATATGTTATTTATTTTAGTAAATATTTTGGTTTTTTATATGAAAATATGTTATTTATTTTAGTAAATATTATTTTTTTATTCGAAAATATATTTTTTTAGTTTTTAAGCAAAATCTAAATAAACATAACCACGTTCAACATTTTTTTATTGTTCAACCATGGATAAAAAAATTTATTTTACATAGGATAAAAAAAATTCACAAATTTTCACATAAGATGACAAAATTATTTTTGATTGTGCACCTATATAATTCAAAAATGAATACATGTCAAAAAATATTTTTATAAATATCTTGGTTTTTTGTGTGATAATATTTTTTTTTGTTTTAGTAAATATCTTGGTTTTTTATAGAAAATATGTTTTTTAGTTTTTAAGCAAAATATAGTAAGCATAACCACTTCAACGTTTTTTATTTTAATATAAACCAAAAAATTGTAATAGCCATTTTCACTTATAAAAGCTAATAAATATAAACTTTGTTTATAAAAATAAAAGTGAAAATATATTGTTTTTTTGGCTAAAATGTTCAACATGAATGTTGTAGTAGTCGTCAAGATGAACGCGTGAATATAAAGAACGTTGAAAATAGAGTTTGGATGAAGATGTTATGATTTTTATAAGTTTTAGTTAAAATAATAACAAATATGATGATGTTAATAATACAGTATATGACAACTTTTTTTTCTTATAGTTTTTTTTTAAATATTTAAACAAATTTTCACATATAAAAACCTTTTTTTAACAAAAAAACTTTTTTAGAAAATGTTTTTATATAGAAAAAGAAGTTTTTTTATGTGAAAATATTTTTTTGTATAAATATGATTTTATAAAGAAAAAAACATATTCGAAAGTAAATTTTGAAAAAAATAATACGTAAAAATACTAATTTAGGATGAATTTGTAAGAAACTTTGGAATCTTGGCCAAAAATATAAATTTTGGAACAAATTTGTAACAAAAATTAAAATATGGGCCAAAAATGTAAAATTTGATAGTGGGTAACCTGTTGACCTGGTAAAAAGGGTCAAAGTGAATATAATTCACGGCGTTTTTTATATTTATTAAGACAAATTTTATTAATTTTATATATATTGTAGCATTATAATTATTTTTTTTATAAAAAACTAGGGGAAATAAGAGGTTATCGTTTCCTAGGCAGTAACGAATCTATGATTAAAAATCACAGATGTCCAATTCAAACGAGTAACCGATGGGTTTATCAGGTTATAACAAAATACTCAATGTGAAAAAACACTTAACAATTAATAAAAAGGCACATACAACCTAAAAGGATTTATGTCTTTCACTTTAAAGACAACATACTTTGATCATTTCACGTGGAGAGGTACACAATATTTTTGTTGCAAGCCAAATTTTATGTATCAATTGTGACCACCAAAAATATTCATAAATTATGCTATTTTTAAAAACATAATATTACAAGTTTTTGTCTCAAAAAGGTAGAGCATCAGGGGAGGACCTACTTACATCCCCAAAAATATAGATAAAATTTTGTTTTTAAATTCATTCAATTCATAAGAAACTGAGATCAAAATATTCGAAATAGTTATATTGTAACATATTATCAAAGTACAAATCCTAAAATCACTTAGTATGGAAAACCATAGAGTGATACGGTGCGATCAATTCGGTCTCTTACCCTTCGAACTAGAAATACCTGAAACAGAAAATGAAAGCACAAAACTTAGTAAGTGTCACAATTAGGATTTTTTGTGCCTTGTAACCAACACTTAAGCCAAATTATGAATCAAAAACATAAGAGCATGTATGATGCATACTCTATGACAGCAGAACTTCAATCAAACACCCCATGCAAGCAATTCAAATAGTTATTAAGCAATTGGAAACCCTAGAAGTTCTTGTTTAAGTCCATTTTGGACTAGGACTTCCTTATTGGGCCCAATGGACCAATAAGCTTCCAATTTGGCTATCTTGGGCTTAGAACTCTTAAATGGGCTCTAATTGGACCCACTTCCATTTAATTCAATATTTTTGACCATATTGGGCCTAGAATATAATAGATAAATTATATGAATCATTTTGGACCATAATTAACCTAATCTAGCCTAATAGGTCATAAAAATCACATTTATATTTTTTTAGGGCCAAAAATCATCTAACCTAGCTATAATATGGGCTTAAGGGCAAAAAGCCCAAAAACCTCCTCTCACCCTCCCCATTCTCGGCCCAAGCCCAAAAGAAGAGGAGAGTTGACTTTGTGTGTGCCACCTCACAATTGTTCAAGGGACTTCCATGCAAGAAGACTCAAACATCCATGCACTCACATATTTCCATGACTAGCTAACTCTTTTTCTCCCTCTCTCTCTTGCTCTCGGTCGAGTCCAAGCACACACACACACACATTTCACTCTCTTTTCTCTCAAGGAAACTCTCTCATATCTCATCCATATTTCGAGATCTAAGGAGGATTCAAGGGGATTTTTACACAAAAATCATCATCTAAGGTAAGAAATCTCTTAGATCCTTAAGCTAGCTACTTCATTTCATCCAAAAATCACCTCTTAATTCATTCAAACTCATGATCTAGCACCTAAGAATCATCCAAGTTCGAAATCTTCCAAGGAAGGTTGCTAAGGCCGAATTTCTTCTCATTTTCTTCCAAAAACCGAAACTACACCCAAAGGTGAGCTTCATACCCCCTCTTTTTCGGTTTTTATAAGTTTTTTGGGGGAGAATACAAGCAAATGTGTAGATCTATGAGTATATGTATGCCTTGTGTGATTTTTATGCTTATATGTATGATCTTATGTGATTGTGATGTTTATACTAGTCAAAAGAACTTAAAAATCGAGATCTACAATAAGAAGAATGAAATAAGTATAACTTATACCAATTCACACTAATCAAGTCTAGAAAAATAATCTAGTTGGTTAATATGAACATTTTTGGACTTAAAACCCATTTTTGGGCTCAAAATGCCAAAAAATACAAAACTAAGGGGCCCAAAACGACAAAATATAAATTCTGAAGGTTGAGATGAGTCTAAACAGTTTCTAATATGTATTTTCTGGATATCAACACTTTTGAAGGGTTAAAAATGTGAATTTTAAACATAATGGGCCAAAATGGGCTTTTCGGCCCAATAAAGCCCCAAATTGCGAGATTTTTGATTGGTGGGGCTGAACCTGCACATTTCTGTAAAACAGGGGATTACTTGTGTACTAAAACTATTTCAAGGGCCAAAAATGCTTTTCAAATTAAAAAGGGACCAAAGATGCAAAAATTTTCCATCTTGGGCCAAAATTGTTAAAGTTGCGAAAATGGAGGTTTCAACCGAGAAAATTTCATTTTTGACGGACTTACGCTGTTTATCAAGTAAATTTGTGCTAAAAATGTCTTTCCGATAAGTTTTGATACTAAAGTGTCAAGAAAAATAGTTTAAGGACTAAAATCGAAATTCTTTTATACACAAAAGGTTAAAAGTGTAAATTTTATCCAAGAAGGGGCTTAAAAAGATAAACTCTAATTCTTAAAACAACAAATCCCTTAAAATAAAAATACGAGTACTACGTCTACCGGCGAAACGTAATAATAAATACACTTTCAACACCAATATCGTTATCAAACGAATTGATTCGGTCCCGAATCAATAACGAATCAAAAATCAATAAACAATGGTACTTCAATACACATGCGGAAATTTACGAGAAGTCAATACACAATCTTTGGGCTTGAAAGTTTCAAATCGTGCTTGTTGGGCCTAGCTAGCCCAATGACATGATCTTTAGGCCCGAAGGGAACGCGCTTATATGTTATTGGGCTTTGTATGACCTAATTCCGTGTAAAAGGACTTTCCATAGCTTTATTGTGCTGTTGGGCCCCAAGGGTCCTTTGGTACTGCTAGCAAAGTCGAGAAGTCAAATGCGAGTCGGGCCAAGTGCCTTTCGCATTCACGATAGCCTTGAACGACTTATGAAAATAAGGGGGGCTTCGTACCCTCTTTTCTCCTCGGTTGTGGGGCTATAAGAAGTCAGGGTGGTTGGATTAAGTGAGTAGTACGGACGACG